TAATAAATATTAGCAATTTTGTTATTTATAATTAATTAAGAGTTATAGTTATCAATTATTTATAATAATTAAATTAAATTAAGTCAATATTTTAAAAATTATAATACAAAAAAATATGTCGCACTTTTAAGTGCCACTATAACTTTTGCTCCCAAAGATGTATTGGGCTCGACTTCTAGAATGTTATCAGGACTAGACTTCAAAAATTTAGAAAAGAAAGGACCAAAGCAGGGTTGCAGGAACCATAAAAAAGGGGTTAGAAACAATGTACTCAGATCGGGGGAAAAAAAAAGACCATAGAGGCATACACTATATCTCTTGATGTTTGCAACCAAAGTAGTGAGGGATTTCAACACGTCAAAAGAGAAGGTGATAGGGGTGCTCATGTCGTTGCACGTGTGGCTGAAGAGATAAGGAAGGAAGAAGCATGGATTGAGGAGTTTCTTGAGTGCTTATATGATATTACAGGATTTGAAAAACCTTTACAAGGTTTTTGACGTAAAGATTGGCTTATGCCGTTATTAATAAGATGAAATACAAAGTTGATTATCAAATAAAAAAAGTAGAAAAGGTTTTCAATATAAGTAGTGTTATTTTCTATTATAAGTAGTGTTATTTTCTATTATATAACTCAAAATTAAATGTCAATAATGTCAAAACCAATGCAAGCTACTTCCCTTTTATTATGACTAACACTATCTTCAAGTTGCCATGCAGCAACAATTGTTCATCTTACTTCTCTTTTCTTAGGACTAATACTATTCTCAAGTTGCTATGAAGTAGGAATTGCCCATCTTAAGGACTTGCTTATTATCGGCCTTGAACAATTGTAACAGTCACATTGTTTACAGAGCATCTCCGTTGACCATTTTGAGAAGAGGACTTTGCATCTCTTACAATCTGTTTTAGAATGAAAGCTGGTTGTTTTGGAGAAGGCAGATCCACAATCTCGCTGTTGAGCATTGAAATGACTGTGGATATTGTTGGTCTATCTTTTGCCATTTCTTGCACACACAACAATCCCACATGTATGCATCTTAGAATCTCTCTACGGTGGCATGGATCGCAAACCACCTTCTCTACCATTGCCAAAATGTTGTCATCATTCCACAATTTCCAAGCCTGGAAAGTGTAAAGATTAGTTTGAAGATGGAACTGAAATCAAACAAAAGTGCTGATTGGCAATGATGCTTAACTTACATATTCCAGAAGGCTTGAAGTATCCTCATCATTACCAAAACTTGTGTTTCTTCTCCCACTAACAATCTCTAGTAATAA